AGCTCGCTCATTTCTTTGTTGTCATCGGTGAAAGTTCCATCTCCCTTTCGCAGGGGCCCGATACTAGATGTGGTTTTTGATCTTGATTTTGCATAGGAGAAAAAATATTTCGGATTTCTCTCTATTTCACTGATGGCCTTTTGCTCTCTTTGCCTCTCCTGGGTTTTGTATGATTCTTGTAGCTTCCGTTCAATTGTTTCTATTTCTCTACCTAACCTTCTTCGCCGTTCTTGAGATAGGGTGCGACTCTCAAGTTGTTCCGCGATTCGTTTTCTTCGCCTATATAGGGAACGACGTTCCCGTTCCAATCTGCATCTCTACCTCTTTTTTTCTTAGGAGTATACGGTTTGAACATATTTCTAGTGCTACTGAGCTCATTTTTTCCAGGCATTTGTTCAGGTTTGCATTTTCTAGCTGTTCTTCCCAGTTTATTTCTGTGAAGTCCTGGTTTATTTGCTCCCAGTTTATCTGTTTATTATTGAAGTTGAATTTGCTGCAATCTCCTCCACCGGGAATCTGGACTGGTTTTGAAGGTCTACTCCCCATGGTTGTCATAACTTCAATTAAGTTGTGATCGGGGTAACAGGTATTTGTAATCATTATGTTCCTGATCAATTCATCATTATTAGTGAAAATGAGGTCCAGCGTGTTCTCCTTCCTAGTTGGTTCTACTATTTGCTGGTTTAAGGCAAACCTGTCGCACATCCGTAGCAGGTCATTTGCATGTGCCTGTTCATTTAGGCTACTTCCTGGTATTCTTTCTGTTATTACTGTGTTAGCCAGGTGCTTCCATTTAAGGTGCCGTAGGTTGAAGTCCCCAAGCAGGATGATGTTCGGAGCTGGATTTGTGAGGTTTTCCAAGCAGTGTTCTCTTTTCATTAGTTGGTCTTTAAACTGCTGAGGGTTTGCCTCCGGTGACTTATATACAAGGACAATAACTACATTTAGAATCTCTATTTTGATTATCAGCACTTCCACCATATCATTTGAGGTGTTTAGCAGTTCAGTACAGATGAGTGTGTCTTTGATGTAGAGGCCGACCCCACCCTGAAGCCGGTGTTTCCTATCACATCTGAAAAGATTGTACTCTGAGATCCATATTTCACCATCATGGTAGTCCTTTGTGTGGGTTTCTGTTAGGGCTGCAAACACTGCATTTGCCTCATGAAGGAGACCATCTATAAAGTGAACTTTGTTGGATTTGCGTGTTTTTATACCCTGGATGTTGGCAAATATAAATGATGTTATCGTGTTAGTGGAAGTGCTGGAAGCCTTACTTGGTGTTAATATCTGAGGCTCTGGTAAGGAGGCCACTGTGTTTGCGTCCAGGGTGTGTTGTTTTGGAAGTGATTCGTCCAGTTTTGGTAGTAGGACGGGTGTTGTCTGGTGTAGTACCTGTGTGCTTGTTGATAATTTGTATTCCAGTCTTGTGGGTATCTCCCTTCCCCTCTGTAATCCTGTAGTGGTTCCATCTGACTGTTCCTCTCTCTTATATTTACTACTCTGTTTCTGCCTTCCTCTAAAAAATTTCCAGTAGTGTCATATTGATCTTCCCGTCTATAACCCTGTGTACCTCTCACGTGGAATTCCGGACACTGAAGATTGTAGCATTTTTTGTCCCTAATTGAAAATTGACATAATTTAGGGTGGAAGTATCTACACCCTGTTCCAAAACGGCATGTACCCCTCGCCAACATATTCCTGCATTTTCGAGGATGCAGAAAATGGCATTTTGCTCCTAATTTTCCATATTTGCATATTCCTTTAGAGTAGAATTTGCAAATATGTTCCGGTTTTGCGCTTTTCAAGGTATTTATATCTGTGACTGTCTTGTCTACCGCTTTATTGGAGTCATCTCCGTTTTTCGTCCCAATTCCTTCATCTATGCACTCTGTCTCACTGTTGCTCTCATCGTTTATATTATCTGGCTCTGCAATATTGCTGTTATTTTGTACCACAATACCCTCCTCCTCCACACTACTGCTGCGGTTCTCTAAACTATCTGTTCCTGAGTTTTGGTCGTTATCCAATGTTGACTTTTCCTAGTCCGCATATATCACTGGTAGCCTGTCTGTGAATGATAATCTCTGTGACTCGGGAATGTTTTTCATCAGTTTAGTTATGTTCTCTAACATTAATCTGTCATCTTTGCAAACCCAGTAAATTCCTTGCCTGTTTGTGCATCCTGGAGCTAATTCTGTACAGCCCAGGTGGAATCTTATGTTACAGATGCAGCACGTTACCCCTGCATTACGTCTTCCCAGTACTCCCGAACACTCGCCACACCTCTCCATTATCTGGTGTATTGTATTGTATTTGAGAGTCACTGTATGGATCACTTGCTGATGTCAGTCCTTTTAACTCTTTATAAAATTATATGTATATATTTATGTTTAATATTTATAATATTATGTGTATACCGTATATTTGTAATATTATGTATGTTATTTTGTTCAAACTTTATGGCAGGTACTTAGCGTAGGGTAGCGAAGCTGGTCCCCGGTGAATACAGGTGACCTCTTGTGGTCCCAGGTTGATGTCACCAGTTTCCAGTTACCCGATTTATAACCACTGATGCCGCCTCTTGCCACTATTCTATATTTCTAGTATTCTATATTTATAATATTCTATGCACGATTTTCCTTCACTTCCAACTTATATGTTGTTGTGATACCCATTCCACATCACTGTTCCACGAATCACCGTTCACTATTTTTTCCTCATACACGCATGTACACAAAGCCTCGTTCACTGGCTCACACGGGTATCTATACATATATATATATATATATATATATATATATATATATATATATATATATATATATATATATATATATATATATATATATATATATATATATATATATATATATATATATATATATATATATATATATATATATATATATATATATATATATATATATATATATATATATATATATATATATATATATATATATATATATATATTCTATATTTATATATATATATTATATATATATATATATATATATATATATATATATATATATATATATATATATATATATATATATATATATATATATATATATATATTGATGAGTTTTTGATTAAGAGATTGCTAAAATATATGAAATTGGGAAGAGTTTACAATATCCTAAGAGGTTTTTGGATTTCTCGTTTGTACAAGCCAAGCGTACGTTTTATAATCACGTCCCTAAGGCGAAACCAAAAATTATTAACTCATTGGTGGTACCTTATGCGAGTGGACTTGAAAAATTGTCTCGGATTTTTAAGAAACTTAATATAAATTTGGTGTTCACTAATAGTACGATCAAATCCAATTTAATAAAAACTCCCTGATACAGCAGGTTGTGTGTATTCGATTCCCTGCAATGATTGTGATTCTGTGTACCTTGGACAAACAGGAAAGTCCTTACAATTGCGGTTGTCACAACATGCTTATAGTATTAGAACTGCCCAAACGTCTAATGCATTGTATCTACATACGAGTTTATGCGATCACAATATTAACTGAAATGGGGCAAAAAGCATTACCAATTGTGGGGATTTCGTGGAACGGAATTTGATTGAGTCTGCTCTAATCAGTCAGTGTCCAAAACTTCTTAATGTTAGTACTGGAATGTACAAACTTGATCCATTTTAAGTTATAATATTGCACTACAGTTTAAGAAACAACTCTGAGAGAGGCTTACAATGTCTCATTATAATTGTATATTCATATATTGTGTGTTCATGAGGCTTTTCTTTAATCTTTCATCCTTATTCTCTGACCGCTTAATCCTCTTTGACCATTCTAAGCTTAGCTTTACCTGTTTTGGTTAATTACACCTGACCAACCCTTGGGATGGGTTGGTCAGGTGTCGGCCTATATATCTTCCCCCCTTCTCCCTTCTCCTTAGTCAGTCTGGTGTTGACAAAGGCTTTAACAAAGCCGAAACGTTCACCTCATTTCATATTTCTCTGTGGATTTTCCGCATAAAATGATCAGTGTTTTGTGATCGTCAATTGCATATATATATATATATATATATATATATATATATATATATATATATATATATATATATATATATATATATATATATATATATATATATATATATATATATCTATACCCCAGAATTCCTACCTCTTTATGGCTTTGAAGTATAGCGTAGTGGATACAGCATGCAACTGCCACCTTGTTGGCCAGTGTTCGAGTCCCCTGGTGGGTTGAGTGTCTAAAAAGTTATAAACTTCAGCTACTGGAATAGGGTAGTCTGTGCATTAATATATATATATATATATATATATATATATATAACTGAAAACTCACACCCCAGAATATTGTCCTGGGGACCATTCAGGCTTGTTCGCATATATATATATATATATATATATATATATATATATATATATATATATATATATATATTGATAACTGAAAACTCCACACCCCAGAAGGATTCGAACCCAGACAGCAAGGAGCACTATGCACAATGGCGTACCCGGTTCTTTAACCACTCGACCAACCATGACTGTACAAAAGACATTGGTAGCCGAGGCTATTTCCCCAACACTCCGACAGCACTTGGTTGTAAGCTTAGGCATAGATATTTCATGTAATCACCTCACTCTGTGGGGCCACGTGAGCAACACAAATGCGAATGTGCTTGAATAACAGAAACATATGTATGAATAGCATTACATAAAGGTCATTGATAAGGTATTAAACTAAGGATATAATCCCCAAAAACATGTCAAATTTAATTCTGAACTTCCCTCCTTCAATAGAGAACTGAAAATTAACCCACAAATTGTAAAGGGGAACTGTTATATACTGCGTGACTGATATTTAATGTTATAAAGACATAGTGATACTTGCTCATATTATTCTATTAGTAAAATTGTAGGACAGAGAGAGAGAGATAGAGAAATGAGGCTAGAGGGGGGAGTGGAGGAGGGAGAGTGGAGGTGCAAGGAATGGTTGGAGGAGAAGGGGAAGATTACTAACTTACAAAACGAGGTCTTAGTAAAATCATTAATTCTTCTGTCTTTGCCAACATGTAGTAGGCATCATCAGTTGTGTAGTTGTCACAGGGACATCCTTGGACAGAAGGGTAGCGCATGTTTATATAGTGACCCACTTTGGCTTCTAAGGCAGAGGCAATCGCTAAAGAATCCCTTAACTTTAGTCTTAGTGATATATCAGTAAGGGAATGACGTGCTCTTCCTCTCTGGAATGTTGCTGCTAAGTCTCGGTCCTCTAGATATAAGGCCGCCTTCAAAATTTTCTCTGCTGCCTGAAACAAAAAAAAAAATAATTAAGTTCAAATTTACCAAAAAAAAAAAAAACATTGAAATAATTCTTAAAAAATTCCATAACTCAATGATAATTATTTCCTTATTCTTCTCCACCTTCATGTTTGATGAGGAGAAGAATGAGCACGAGAGTGTGAGGCAGCATAGGAACACAAGCTGAAGATAATAGGAATGATATCCAGCCATATCTCAACACCACTACATTACACCACAGGAACCCATACACCACCACTACATTACACCACAGGAACCCATACACCACCACTACATTACACCACAGGAACCCATACACCACCACTACATTACACCACAGGAACCCATACATCACCACTACATTACACCACAGGAACCCATACACCACCACTACATTACACCACAGGAACCCATACACCACCACTACATTACACCACAGGAACCCATACACCACCACTACATTACACCACAGGAACCCATACACCACCACTACATTACACCACAGGAACCCATACACCACCACTACATTACACCACAGGAACCCATACACCACCACTACATTACACCACAGGAACCCATACACCACCACTACATTACACCACAGGAACCCATACATCACCACTACATTACACCACAGGAACCCATACACCACCACTACATTACACCACAGGAACCCATACACCACCACTACATTACACCACAGGAACCCATACACCACCACTACATTACACCACAGGAACCCATACACCACCACTACATTACACCACAGGAACCCATACACCACCACTACATTACACCACAGGAACCCATACACCACCACTACATTACACCACAGGAACCCATACACCACCACTACATTACACCACAGGAACCCATACACCACCACTACATTACACCACAGGAACCCATACACCACCACTACATTACACCACAGGAACCCATACACCACCACTACATTACACCACAGGAACCCATACACCACCACTACATTACACCACAGGAACCCATACACCACCACTACATTACACCACAGGAACCCATACACCACCACTACATTACACCACAGGAACCCATACACCACCACTACATTACACCACAGGAACCCATACACCACCACTACATTACACCACAGGAACCCATACACCACCACTACATTACACCACAGGAACCCATACACCACCACTACATTACACCACAGGAACCCATACACCACCACTACATTACACCACAGGACACCCATACACCACACCACTACATTACACCACAGGAACCCATACACCACCACTACATTACACCACAGGAACCCATACACCACCACTACATTACACCACAGGAACCCATACACCACCACTACATTACACCACAGGAACCCATACACCACCACTACATTACACCACAGGAACCCATACACCACCACTACATTACACCACAGGAACCCATACACCACCACTACATTACACCACAGGAACCCATACACCACCACTACATTACACCACAGGAACCCATACACCACCACTACATTACACCACAGGAACCCATACACCACCACTACATTACACCACAGGAACCCATACACCACCACTACATTACACCACAGGAACCCATACACCACCACTACATTACACCACAGGAACCCATACACCACCACTACATTACACCACAGGAACCCATACACCACCACTACATTACACCACACAGGAACCCATACACCACCACTATACACCACAGGAACCCATACACCACCACTACATTACACCACAGGAACCCATACACCACCACTACATTACACCACAGGAACCCATACACCACCACTACATTACACCACAGGAACCCATACACCACCACTACATTACACCACAGGAACCCATACACCACCACTACATTACACCACAGGAACCCATACACCACCACTACATTACACCACAGGAACCCATACATTACACCACTACACCACCACTACATTACACCACAGGAACCCATACACCACCACTACATTACACCACAGGAACCCATACACCACCACTACATTACACCACAGGAACCCATACACCACCACTACATTACACCACAGGAACCCATACACCACCACTACATTACACCACAGGAACCCATACACCACCACACATTACACCACAGGAACCCATACACCACCACTACATACACCACAGGAACCCATACACCACTACATTACACCACAGGAACCCATACACCACCACTACATTACACCACAGGAACCCATACACCACCACTACATTACACCACAGGAACCCATACACCACCACTACATTACACCACAGGAACCCATACACCACCACTACATTACACCACAGGAACCCATACACCACCACTACATTACACCACAGGAACCCATACACCACCACTACATTACACCACAGGAACCCATACACCACCACTACATTACACCACAGGAACCCATACACCACCACTACATTACACCACAGGAACCCATACACCACCACTACATTACACCACAGGAACCCATACACCACCACTACATTACACCACAGGAACCCATACACCACCACTACATTACACCACAGGAACCCATACACCACCACTACATTACACCACAGGAACCCATACACCACCACTACATTACACCACAGGAACCCATACACCACCACTACATTACACCACAGGAACCCATACACCACCACTACATTACACCACAGGAACCCATACACCACCACTACATTACACCACAGGAACCCATACACCACCACTACATTACACCACAGGAACCCATACACCACCACTACATTACACCACAGGAACCCATACACCACCACTACATTACACCACAGGAACCCATACACCACCACTACATTACACCACAGGAACCCATACACCACCACTACATTACACCACAGGAACCCATACACCACCACATACACCACAGGAACCCACTACATTACACCACAGGAACCCATACACCACCACTACATTACACCACAGGAACCCATACACCACCACTACATTACACCACAGGAACCCATACACCACCACTACAGACACCACAGGAACCCATACACCACCACTACATTACACCACAGGAACCCATACACCACCACTACAGACACCACAGGAACCCATACACCACCACTACATTACACCACAGGAACCCATACACCACCACTACATTACACCACAGGAACCCATACACCACCACTACATTACACCACAGGAACCCATACACCACCACTACATTACACCACAGGAACCCATACACCACCACAGGAACCCTACATTACACCACAGGAACCCATACCACTACACCACACCCATACACTTACACCACAGGAACCCATACACCACCACTACATTACACCACAGGAACCCATACACCACCACTACATTACACCACAGGAACCCATACACCACCACTACATTACACCACAGGAACCCATACACCACCACTACATTACACCACAGGAACCCATACACCACCACTACATTACACCACAGGAACCCATACACCACCACTACACATTACACCACAGGAACCCATACACCACCACTACATTACACCACAGGAACCCATACACCACCACTACATTACACCACAGGAACCCATACACCACCACTACATTACACCACAGGAACCCATACACCACCACTACATTACACCACAGGAACCCATACACCACCACTACATTACACCACAGGAACCCATACACCACCACTACATTACACCACAGGAACCCATACACCACCACTACATTACACCACAGGAACCCATACACCACCACTACATTACACCACAGGAACCCATACACCACCACTACATTACACCACAGGAACCCATACACCACCACTACATTACACCACAGGAACCCATACACCACCACTACACTTACACCACAGGAACCCATACACCACCACTACATTACACCACAGGAACCCATACACCACCACTACATTACACCACAGGAACCCATACACCACCACTACATTACACCACAGGAACCCATACACCACCACTACATTACACCACAGGAACCCATACACCACCACTACATTACACCACAGGAACCCATACACCACCACTACATTACACCACAGGAACCCATACACCACCACTACATTACACCACAGGAACCCATACACCACCACTACAGACACCACAGGAACCCATACACCACCACTACATTACACCACAGGAACCCATACACCACCACTACATTACACCACAGGAACCCATACACCACCACTACAGACACCACAGGAACCCATACACCACCACTACATTACACCACAGGAACCCATACACCACCACTACATTACACCACAGGAACCCATACACCACCACTACATTACACCACAGGAACCCATACACCACCACTACATTACACCACAGGAACCCATACACCACCACTACATTACACCACAGGAACCCATACACCACCACTACATTACACCACAGGAACCCATACACCACCACTACATTACACCACAGGAACCCATACACCACCACTACATTACACCACAGGAACCCATACACCACCACTACATTACACCACAGGAACCCATACACCACCACTACATTACACCACAGGAACCCATACACCACCACTACAGACACCACAGGAACCCATACACCAGGACATTACACCACAGGAACCCATACACCACCACAGACACATTACACCACAGGAACCCATACACCACCACTACAGACACCACAGGAACCCATACACCACCACTACAGACACCACAGGAACCCATACACCACCACTACATTACACCACAGGAACCCATACACCACCACTACATTACACCACAGGAACCCATACACCACCACTACAGACACCACAGGAACCCATACACCACCACCACATTACACCACAGGAACCCATACACCACCACTACATTACACCACAGGAACCCATACACCACCACTACATTACACCACAGGAACCCATACATCACCACTACATTACACCACAGGAACCCATACACCACCACTACATTACACCACAGGAACCCA